CTTGGTGGCCCACACCATGCTGCTTCTGCTTTTGTTGAAATTCTTACAAAATGGCGTAGCAATAAAAGCAAGGCTCTTTCCCTATACCCAGAAAAAATCCACTTTCAGTAATCCCTCTCCACTGCCATCAAGCCAGCTCCTTGTTATAATGGCCCAATAAGACAGAGTAGAACTACCCTTTTGGGTTTCTGAGACGAAATCTTTATAGAAGCAGACTGCCTCATCTTTCTTTGGGTCAGATGCTGGTGGCTTCCAACTATTGACCTTGTGGTCAGAAGCTGAACACTTAACCCACTACTCCACTGGACTCCTTACCTGTCGCTCATCACCACTTACTTTAAGACTTCAAGGAAAGAAATTACTATTCTTTAACTAAAATTTGGTCACTAAGTATTTGGTTCAGAGATCCCAAGGGTGTTCTGATAAATTTGTATGTGAGTCTCAGAGATTATCTACATTTTTACATTGAGAATGCTTCTAATACCCTTGAACCCCATCAGCCGAAAGCAGTCTAGGATTGTTGGTGTGATTATGACTTTCACCTGTGTCCCAGGCGTGTGGAGTCTGTGGAATGTATCAATTGGGCTGTGTGTTTCATCAAAAATTTCTCATTTAAATGAAAATCTATGCTCTGTAGTACTAAAATCATCTGAAAGAAGAAAAATTTATCTAAAACATTTTACAATGTAGCATGAACTTGGATCTCATGTAAGCTTTGTAAGCCTATGAAGGGAACGATGCTGCTGTCTCCAATCATTGGCCTACTTGTGACCTTCTGGAGACTTTCTGATCTCCTTCCGGATACAAATTTCTCTCTGGATACAAATCTTTCTTCTTTTCTTTTTCTCTCCATGCTTAGATTCTTCTTGGTTAGTGTCCAGGGAACTTTTTAGAATTGATCGTTGACCACTCGGGTCACCAACTGTGATAGGTAGGTTTATAATAAACATGTGGGATTAATAAGGTTGCAGTTTAATTGAAAGGCAAAGAGATAAATGGCTTGGTGAGCCTCGCCTTTCTGTCTCTTGCTCTCTGATGATTGGACCAGTGTACTAGCCTTAGCTAGTTCTCTGCCTCAGTTTGTGAGCTACACTACCTGTGGGACACCCAACCTGTGGACTGTGTTGTCGCTGTAGTTTGAGGTTACTTGGAGACCTGCTTCGGCACATTGCTGGTGTGTATACATCACTTGAGCTGGGGACTGTCAGACCCTGTCATCTGGCTGACTGTTGGTGACCTGCCCTGCTGTTTGCTGCCTGTGGCCCGACTGCCTGTTTTGCTCTACAGAAGACTCAGCTGTCTGCTTCCTTGATTTGCACCCAGCAGACCTCGTGAGTTGAAGAACTGTCATTATATTAACTGTCACGGAAGTGAGTTGAACTGAACCCTCTGTACTGTTTGTGGACTAATTACCGTAGCTCTTATTTCTTTGTGTTGTATATATCTTTCTATATCTATATATATTTTATATACTCAAATATAAGCTGACCCGAATATCAGCCAAGGCACCCAATTTTGCCACAAAAACTGCATTAAAAATGTGCTGAAAAACTCGGCTTATACACAAATACATACGGCGTGTATATGTGTGTGTGTGTGTGTGTGTGTGTGTAAAATCTTAAGTGACCTGGTTTTGTTTCTCTAGAGAACCCTGTCTAACACCAGCTATAGGTCAGATCACTGTCTGATACAGAGCTGTCGTACATTAACTGAATGAGAGGACTTATGAAGTGGGTGTGGGTAGGTGGAAAGCCAGGAGGAGGAATGAGGGTAAGATGATAATTTGTCCAGTTTTTAAACCAAAGCTTCTGAAACTCAAGAGTCCATGAATGCCCTAATAACTGCTTACAGAAGATTCTGGGAAGACATAATACTTAAAATCTCTAAGGAGCTAAAATCTTGCTGGGAAGGCTAAGAACTACTGTTGGCAGTACTTGGCTTTTGGTGTTCGCTTCAGTAGTCTATACTCTGAAACATTATGAGACACTGTGTAGTAGAGTGGTTGAGAGCCCAGATCTTAGAGCTGAGTCCGAATCCTAGCTTTACCATTTGCTGTCTGTGTGTCCTCTGGACTGGTATCATAACGTGTGTGCTCCAATTTTCTCATATCTACAAACTGTATATAATTAATAGTATCTTTATAAAAGGATTGTTATGTGGGTTTAATGGGTTGGTATATAAGGAGTGCTTAATATAGTGCCTGAAACTTGGTAGTTGGCTAAACTGTTATACATTGATATTGCTAAAATGAACTTTAGTAAAATGAGTTTGAGATATCATGTGGTCAAATGTGAAAAACAAAGAGCAAATCACGTATAAAATGTCAGAACTCATGCCATTTTAAAAATGTGCCCCAAAGTGAGAAATAAATAGGAATCCATATAATTAGATGTGGGGGAATGGACACCTCCCACTATCACCAAAATAAGCTATAATTCTATTACTTGGCTTTATCATGTTTAGCTCTCTACATGGTTTTTTTGTTTTTAATTGTGCTAGTTATACCTAACAAGACAGTTACCACGTAAACAGTTTTTACATGTACAGTCCAGTGACATTAGTTATACATTTGTCATGGGTATCTATTAGCACGGTTTCCATCATTCCTAATAGACTCATGAGTCTGCCTTTCTCCTTTCCTTTGAGCCTGGGCATGATCCCCTTCTTTCATAACCACTAATACATTTTAGACTTTGTATATTGTCTATTGTAGGTATTTTATATGAGGGCTCATACAATATTTGTCCTTTTGTTGATTTATTTCACTCAATATTTACAGGTTCATCTAGGTTGTAAAATGCATCCAGATGTCATTATTTCTATGTGGGAGTGGTGGTAGGTGCTGTCATATTTGTCAGGTTCATTAGCAGCCCAGTATACAACAGAACACAGTACTGCTCAGTGTCCTACACCATCCTCATAGTCTTGATGTGTGAGCCCATTGTTACAGTCACTAAAGCAATATACATTTCATTGGGTTTTATCTTTTGCTGACTCTACTAAGCATGATGTGCTTCTCCAGGGCCTGAGCCCCTCTGATAGCATGTAGAAAGTATGTCAAACAAAGTCTTGCCATCTCTTTCTGGCTATGTGTCTGCCAACACAAATGTGTTCATCTTTCTGGCAGTCTATGATATAGTCATTATTTTTTTCCAATCCCACAATTCAGAGACATTGCTTCTTCTTCATCTTCTTCTTTGTCTAGTTTCTGCGTGCATAGGAGACAATTAAAAGTACTATGCCATGGGTTAAGCACACCTTCGTCCTCAAAGTGACATCTTTGCTTTCCAACACTTTAGAAAGGTCTTTTGCAGCAGGCTTGCCCAATGCCGTACACTCAATATCATTGAACACTAATGGTCACAGATTTCATGAGTTGTAGATGACATGGAGAAACCAATAGATCATGTAAAAGACAGGAAAGCAAAAATAAAGAGCAAACTTTTGTATCAGAAGAGATACCGAAGCATGTACATTTTCTAAATCCATTCATCTGTTGATGGGCATTTAGACTGTTTCCACTTGTTAGTTATTGTGAATAGTGGTGCAATGAACACTGGTGTGCAAGTATTTTTGTTCTTGTTTTCAATTCTTTTAGGTTTATACCTAGGAGTAGAATTGCTGGGTCATAAAGGAGCCCTGTGGGTTAGATGATGGGCTATTGAGATAGTTTATTGTGCCAGCCTGGCCGATAAACACAAGTGGGATTAACTGAAGGGCAGAGAGATAAATGGCTTGGTTAGCCTCGTCTTTCTTGTCTCTCGCTCTTTGATCATTGGATCAATGTGCGGCTGCCTTGCTTGTTCTGTGCCTCAATTTA